TTCCACTTTTGAAAATGTATGTTGCGTAGCATACGAAACGTCAAGTTATTAAAATGCGTAAGTTTAATATATTTATCACTGCTGTTTGTGTTTTATTCCTTCTTTCTTTCTTTCTTTTTTTTTCTTTTTTTTGTTCTCCCTTAAATCAAACTGCAAACTGCAAATTCTTTCTTCATCTCTTCTGTCCTACAACTAGGCTTGAGGCTGAAGCCTGGTTTTCACCAGCGATGCAAGCACTAGCGCGAGCACAAACGCAAGCAATACATTCTCGTTCCCAGAGCCCACGTGTCTTTTGGTCAGCGCGAAGACACGGAGCGCTGGAATGATCAATTTCCAGACTCCAAGATTTTAGGAATTCCGGTTGCACGGCGCATGCTTTAGTATACTACATGGCAATCTCGTTCCCAGAGCCCACGTGTCTTTTGGTTGGCGCTGACCAAAAGACACGTGGGCTCTGGGAACGAGATTGTAAGCAATAGGGATGACCCAAGTGAAAGCGAAATTCGACGCAAACACAAGCACAAGCAAACTCATCCGAACCTGCCTCCATTTTGGAAAACTGTTTAGCCGCGAAGTAATCTGGATCCAGTGTTTTTTGGCCAAACATAACTACGTGTTGTGAAGTGTATATGAAATAATTCATATTTGAACTGCGGNTCATCGCAGTAAATTTTCCAATTTAAGCAACTGGAAAGAAGAAGCCTGAGGGGCTTCAACGGGCTTCAACGGGCTTCATCCCGTTGAAGCCCTGATTTTTGGCCACATTGCGGCTCATGAAAAGGTGCACTTTTCCAATGGAACTTACAAAACAAAGAACTCACAGCTTGCGCATAAAAATGCGAAATTGCGCAGCTGGATTGAAAGGAGCTACAGTTATTTACGGCTTGCAGCAAGATTGCCCGAACTAGCGTCAAAGCTGGAAAGACTAAGTTGCTACCACTGGGTCTGCTCCGAGTACAGGAGAGAATATCACAGCAAGCTTTTAACTGATCACTCGTCGGATAAGCGTTGTAATTGTTGACGTTCACTTCGCTGAGATGACCGGAGATCGCTTTTTAACGAACGAACGTTACTACACTCCATGTAAGTCTTGTTTGAGCATTTTTACAAATACA